TTCTTGACTTAATGAAACTGTGCTCTGTCCTGCTAACACGTGATTCAGAAACACTCTGTTTGCAGCATAAGTTGGACCACACTACCTATCCTCTTGATGAAATCTGACCAGCCACCTCAAAGGACGTTTTTTTTTTTTTTTTTTTTTTTGGTACCAGTAGTTGAACTCAAGACTTTGCACTTGCCAAGCAGGTGTGGTGCCATTGATATATAGCCCAAGTCTTGGCCAGGACTTTAAATTCCAGGAGCTCAACCTAATCGCTAATTTACTACAATATGGTAAGAGTAAGCCCTCTCTTACATTAATATAAGGAGGAGCTAGTTCTGCCACTGGTAGGCAATCAGTAAATTCCTGGCAGAGGGTAATCATGGTTCAGCTATCTAGTAGAGTGAGACACACTCCCAGAGACACAAGTCCTGGAAGAGCAAGCTGCATGGACGCTGAGTCTCCCCACGGGGGCAGAGCAGTAAGAGCTTAAAAATCCAGGGCAGTTGCAAACAGCAGAGGCACAAAGGGCACTCTGAGATAAAAGTAGTGAAAAACATGGATCAGATGCCACAGAATAAATGGAATAAATTTCATGCAGCTTGGAGGAGTTACACTATATCTCAGTGAATCTTTGGCCTCTTCCTCAAATGGATCCCTGTGGGGTTGAAAGTTAGAAGCTATTGTTTGGATATTGAGTATACCTGCTTTACCACAGGACTAAACCCCAAGGTTATGGTTTTAAATAATTTCTAAGGTATTGGTGAAATTATGACTAACTTTGTATAACTCTTTATGAAACTTCTCTATGCTTCAAAGGAGGGTAAAAGAACCACATTGAATTAGACAGAACTCAAGGATTGGGAATGTCCCAAATTGAGCATGAGTTGGTGTGCTCAGATGCCACACATCTTAGTGGCCTATCACAGCACACACAAACCTGTAGGGTCAAAGTCATAAAACCGTCATAGTCTTTTATGAAATATGTGCATTTTGTATTTTATGTTAAATTGTATTAGTTTCTTCACTAATTTCTAAACTTTTGTTGTTCTGTCTGTTTTTGTTGAAAGTTCCTTAATGACATTCTGGAGATAGCCTTCAAAAAAGTTCGTGTTTGTATTTAGCATAAACAGTTTAAGAGATAAAAAATACCCTTTTTCCTCCAGGATCATTGGAAAGAGAACTTTCTGGAACTTAAACATCCTCAGGAAGTGTAACTTAATAAGGTGTTGCATTGAGGATATTTATAAGCATAAATCTTCAATTATTTGCAAAACATAAGTTGTGTAAATATTCATGATTATCAATGTGCTCATTTGTCTGGAAACAAAATTTGAACAATCAATCTTATAAAATTCTGAAGACTTCAGAACAATGTAACTTGAACTTGGGAAATAACATTCAGAAAAATAACCTGTCTGGTAAAAATAAATTAAGCATTAACTGTTCCTTTCAATAAACCAATAGAAGTTATTAGTACAATTATCTTAGCTGTCTTGTATAAATATATTCCCTTCCTTCTTTCTTTCTTTTCTCCTTTCCCTCATTCCAGTTGTTCTTTCTTTTTGAGCAGTTTCTTTCCCTTTCACAAGATCTATTGTACCTTTTGGATTTTATTACTCTTTCAGGTTCTTACACTAGGGAGACAATTTTACATGTTCTTATCTGGTAATCTAAACAACTACTTTGTATATAACAACAGGAAATATAACAACCGTGGTTGAATTCCTATCACCTTATTCTTTGAAATTCTGTATCGTTTCTAATGTTGTTTTTTTTATTATTTTTACTCTCTTTAAAATAAAAAAAAATCAAAACAAATAAAATAAAATAGGGGGGAAAGACCTGACTCTGGTATCAGTTGTCCACCCAGTGACTTGTTGGTCCAGTGACAAAGTGTTGGGTAGCTCAGGGCATTGCTGTGAGGCTGCTCTATTTTATATCATCCCTCTTCTCCCAGCTGCATGATGGAAAAAAGTCAAAGGCAATTGCCTGATCAGATTTCTTATTTTAATAAAGGAATTGTGAGTCTGGCCTCCTTGCAATTTAATATGACCTAAGTGAGAGGCAGTATCTGAGCTGATGAATGAGAAATTCATATCCTTGTTCCTGCAAATCCCACAACTTCGTAGTAGTCTCTGTCATAGAAAAAGGTGTCCGTAAGTGAAAGCTGATTAACTATAGATGACAAAATAGTTTCCAGCCACTAACCTGAGCTCCTCAAAATGCATCCATTTATTCTACTCCATTTCTTGCTTTATACATACTATTTTATTGACGCATGAATTCATTAATTCTTGCACTTGAATTATTCATGCCTGTCATCAATATGTTCATTCCAGTAAAACATTCACTTCATTCATTCAATTCATTTCTTTTATTTTTAACAATCATTTCATTAATTATTCCACTTCTTCAATTGTTTCACTCATCTATTGGTTTATTCGATTCATATCTTCACCACATTCATGTATTTGTGTATTTCATTTTCTCAGCAGTTCTTTTGTGCCACAGAAATATTTTTTTATGGAAAAAAAATTTCCCTACATTTATCATAGGAACTCTTTTACAGTTTCCATTTCCCTACATTTATCATAGGAACTCTTTTACAGTTTCCACTTGAATTATCTTTTAATAAATGGTCAATCTAAATTAATTCATAAATATTATACATTTTGTGTTGCACGTAACTATTAGGAGGAAACAGAACTTACCGTCAAGGCCATGGACACAAACCACCAGGTGAATCCCATCTTCCAAGTTCTCTTCGTTCTCCTCTGGTGGGAAATACGGTGTATCAGAAGCCAGTACAGACAAGTCACTGTACAGAAATCCTTCAATCTTCAATTCTTTTTTAAATTTTTCTTTGGCCTGATAGAAACTGGAGAATATGCTAATTAATCTCAAGCCAAGCTGTGTGCTGCATTGAGCAGAATATGATTTGGGCTGGTATGCAGGAGGGATGAGGGTCTAAGAGCCAAGTGTCTGCTGAACAGCAAACACTGAATGTGAGGCCTTGGCAAAGAAGCTACTGAGTGATGCTTTGTTCTGAATATGAAGGCAGGAAAGAAGTCTCCCAAACCCAAAGGGTTCTGATTCTTCAGATTTCTCTGTGCATCATGCACTGAATAGGAGACTGGATAATGAGACTTCGCAGATGCTATCCAGCTCCAAGGTCCCAGGCACTTTTTAAAATGCTTTTGTTAGCTCCTTCCTCTGACCCACAAGACCCCCATGGCTTGTCCTTGTCTGTTTTTCCAGTATTGTCTCCTACCCCTCCCCTTCTCTAATACATGTCACAATCCCCATAATGCTTTGCTTCACTTCTGTGTGCCTTGGTGAATGCAGTTGTGGGTGCAAAGTACTTTTCCCACCTTACTGCTTTGTTCTTCACCAGGTTAACCTGACATGGTGGTGTTTAAGAACACGGCTTCAGAATTTGATTGCTAAGGACAAACTCCCAAGATACCTGGTATCAGTTACCTATTGCGTGTCCCTCATCTGAAATAGTTGGAACCAGAAAAGCTTTCAATTTCAGTTATTTTCCCAGATTTGGGGTTATTTGCATATACATAAGAGATATCTTGGGGATGGAACTCAAGACTAAATATGAAATGTACTTTTGGTTTATATACAAAAATAGACATAGCAGGAAGGTAATTTTATACAGTGGTTTTAATATTTTGGGGAATGATGCAATTTCACAGTGTGAAGTTCTTCACTTATACCATCTTGTCAGTGCTCAAAGAACTTTTATTTTAAGAGTATGGATTGAGGATGGGACTTAGGAGTGGAGTGCTTCCTTATAATGCACAAGGCCATAGATAGGTTCAACCCCCAGAACTGAAGAAATATCCAGTAAGTAAAGTTTTGTATTTTGACTTTGGGGTGCATCACATTTTGTATTCTCAAGTTAGGCAGGTTCAACTTGCTTTATTATGTATTTATTATTATGTTTTATTATTAGCCATTTCACCTTCATCATCCTCCTCCTCATTGGCATCATTAGCATCCTCATGAGTATTTTATTTTCTTTTGGTACAAGTGTTTCCTCTTTAAAGCTTTTCCTCCCAACCATCCCTATTGACAGTTATTGCCCCCACCAGCCACTTTTCCTTTTTTCCTCTGACTGACTGTACAGCCCTGAATCATTACATTTAGTTATCATTGCCCTCATAGACTTCTCTCAAACTTCTGGCTCTCCTTTGGACTGCAAGCATAGTAATTTCCAGGATAACTCTACCCAGGGAATGGACAGTGTCATATATATGGACGTGGTGACAAGTGTTGTACTATAGGCATTGACTCCCCTTTATAAAACAAAAAGTCCAAGGCATACCTGCCTGCGCAATTTTTGAGGGGACAACCATTAGCATTTTCCGAAAGAGTAAAATGATTTTATTATATACCCAATGAGGTACATAGCTTACAAGTCAGGGAGTGGTATAAATAGGAACCCAACACCAGATGAAAGGATAGTCTTTTGCATTGCAAAAGGAGCAGTGACTTCAAGAACTCCAAAAGCAACCCGGATTTGCCAAAGAAGTCCTATTTCCTCAAAGGCTTTTTAAAAATTGCTCTCTTAGGCTGGGGATATAGCTCAGTGGCACAAGTGCCAGCCTGGCAAGTGCAAGGTCCTGAGTTCAATTCCCAGTACAAAAAAAAATGCCCTCTCAAAATGTGCAAAGGTGGAGTACAATGATATTTATAAAAGAGGCATGCATTGTAATAATGATGGAATGAAGTTTAAATGTCTATCTCTAAAAGATTTGGTTAATAAATCATGATACACCTTACACTGACAGAGAACATTAAAATGATTCAAAATAGACTTACAAACATAAAAAGATATTTCCAATATATTTTTAAATTGGAAAAAATATTCATCCAGGAACTGATAGAATAACCTTATTTTTCATAAAAACATATATAGATATAGAAGCATATAAAAATTGTTGAAGCTGTTATAGTGGGAGATCTGCTTGCCAATAAGTTTTAATTCCTCGTACTAGTCAACATTTCTGATTTGTATGATATACTTTCATTTAAATGATATGCATACTATTTATATGATACATATACTCACTTAAATCAGAAAATAACAAATATTAATTGTTAAGTGGAATGCATGCAATTGAGAAATCTGTGGAGAGGCCTCAAAAACTCTTCTGGAACAGCTGAGCCACCCCTGAGCTTACCTGAACATCCTTTCACTGACTTCTTCCTCCAACTTGCTAGAATGGGTAGAAACAACTCCAAAGGAACCCAAGGGTTGGTGGGTGATAGGAACAGGTGTCTGTTTGGAAGAGAATCCAGCCCTGGCTGGGGTTTCCTTGGGTACAGAGGAGAAAGGGAGACATGTGGCAGTGCAAGACAGGGATAAGTTGACGACCTCCACAGCCTTCAGGCTGTCCAGAGTAAAGGTCTCTGTGGGGTTCAGGTGGGACCCCATGATGGAAGTGCCTGCCTTCGGCTCCTGGTTCCTCAAAACATGGGAGGAAATGGAATGAGTCACAGTGGGGCACACAGTGCCAGCTTCATGTTCAACCTCCAGAGAGGTATCAGGTCCTCTGTTCAACATCGTACCTTCAATGAGGCAAGGTGAACTGCTTTGCTGGTCTGCAGAATTTGGCTGGGTGGTATTGGCAGCTGATGGACAGCTGAATTCAGGCACCTTATGGTGAGACATCTCCCCATCCTCTGAGATGCTGCTGTTGGACAGAATGAGTCTGCCCACATTCAAGTCCTTAAGTCTGCCCTTTGTGGTTTCCATTTGTCCTCCATGGAAAGACCTGGTCTTTGCATTTTCAAGTGTTATGGTACGTGGTATTTTTAAGTGAAGACCTTTGGTTTCAACACCTGTAGTGCTTTCAGTTCTGCCATCCAGAGGACAGCTTCCTTGAGCAACCAACCAAGTCTCTTTCCCCTTGGGGATGTCCATGTAACCAGGGCCCTGCCGTTTCTCTGCATCTAAATCTACTTCTACCAGGGAATGGTCTTCCCCATCATCCTTGGTTCTGGAGCCATCACAAGGTTGAGAGCTGTGTGCAGGGGAAACTTTGCTCTTGCTGTGCATATCTGAAGCTTCAGCAGAGCCTCCCTGTTTATTCACAAGGTCTGCACTCTCAGCAGTCTCCTCGGGGCTGCTGATCTGAGGTGCAGATACAGACTTGGTTAGCTTGGTGAGTGCCAACTCTCGCTCCTCCTCTTCAAAAGGCAAAGAGCTGATGGAGGTAAGAGAAGCCTGGATGCCACTGGGCAGACTTGTGTTGCTCTCTGTGTGGCCCCCCTCTAAGGAGTTCCTGTGTACAGCGTACCTCTGAGCTAGATGGTACAAGACTTCCCGGTCACTGGGCAATTCCAGGGCCCTGCTTCGAGCTTCTGACCAGGCTACCGAGCTTGGTTCGCTCTCAATGCCTGAGTCAGATATGATGGAGGAAGATCTCTTTATGACCCCAGAAAGTACTGACAGCTCCTCCTGCTCTTCTGTGTGAGAGTCCTGCAGGGAAGACTTGACATCCAAGGGCGCTCTCAAAGTGTAGCTAAGGTGGTCACAGGGCTTAGCATGTGTGAGCTTCAGGCTCAGCAACCCTGGTTTCCCCTCTTGGTCTGTTCCTTTTCCTACAGTACTGAGCTCAGTGAGGGCTAATTTGTCTGGAGAGATGGAATCCTGGTGAGTTCCACCTGCTACCATCTTGCTTGGTCTTTCAAAACCACACTTGTCTCTAGAGCTTCTTGTTTCATGGTGACCACTGAGGAGCTCTATAGGTTCAGGTCTGTGTGGATTCTTATTGCTAGATTTCACATCGATGTAGGTCAGCACTGGAGCATGAGCATCATTTGGGCCCATACTCCTGGGCACGTCCACCTCTGCCAGTGGATACGTTCCAGCATCAGACTTCTGACCAGTCCAACACTCATCTTCAGCCACTCCTGCTTTATTCTGGAATTCACCAATTGTCAGATACACCTCAGACTCGAAACACATGTCCACCCGATTTTGTGTGGTCACATTCTCACCTGGCTCTGGACACCTACTCACTTCTTCTTCATCAGGGTCCATTTGGGCTGGTTTCATGGTAGACAAAACAAGGCCTTCTTTCAAAGATGATGTTCCATTCACAGTACGGTTCTCTTTCTTCTCTTTTAGGTTCATTATTGTAGGGATGGTTGCTGGACCATCAAAATTAGGATAAACACTTAAATTATGCCCTGCAAAAAAAGGGGAAAGGAGAAAAAAAGAAAATTGGGAAAGTATGTTATAATTTGCAAGTACAGTGTTTCCTTGGTTCATGAACTTAATTTGTTCCCTAACTTTGGAAAAGATGGCCACGTTTGTGTTTGTACTGGAAAGATGATTGCAGTTGTGTTTGTTATCAAATGTAAAGTTTGCAAACAGAAACAAAATTTTGCCCATTGCTTTTTTTGCAAACTAAATTGTTCACAAATAAAAATGTTCATGAACTGAAGTACCACTGTATATGTTCATGAGGCTTTTTGTTTTGTTTTGTTTTTTGCAGTACCAGGGATCAAACTCATGACCTTGTGCTTGCCAGGCAGGTGCTTATGCCACTGAGCTATATCCCCAGCCCCTCATGAGTCATATAAATACCTAACTGTATAAAAAATTGGCAGCCTTTTATTTCTTTTCTATGGAAATTTTTTTCTTGATTCTTGGAATTTCCCAAATGATAGAAGTGTCTTCATTATTCATGTGGGTCCTAATTTCTTATGCTAATGGGGTGACCTATGCTGGATTCATAAATAGTTTATACTAATAAGATGAGTCAGGACAGGGGCTAGCCCACACGGAAAGACCAAACCTGTGACTAGTGGGTTAGGACATGGAGCAAAGTAGTATCAGTCTGACCTCTCGGGGGAATTGAGTTCAATCATGTGGCCAATGGCTGAATCAATCGTGCCATCTAAGGAAACCCCAGCTATTTGCAATGCCCCAACTCAGGTGGGCCTTTCTGATTGACAGTGAAGACTGACATGAGCAAAGGGACACACATGGGCACAGAAGGCACAGAAAGATTGCCACTGACTTGCCAGTGAGTGCTGCAAGGTGGAGGCTCAGAGACAAAGCTGAGTGATAGAACATAAAGGTACAATACCATTGCACATGTGTGCCGAGGGACTGAGATTTATATTTACTCACATATCTGTTGTAACTGGAGAAAAAAAAAGACTAAAAGATATTTACGACAAAGCCTGATAATAATACTGCATACTTAGTTAATTTCTTCTCCAACCATTCAAATTTTCTGTAAATATATAACTAAAAGGAAATGAACATTTATTCATACACATGCATATGCATATGTGTATATATGTATACACACACACACACATACACACACACACTCACCCTGCATCTAAGAAGAAGTCTGAATTTATATTTATGCTTGCTTTGACCAGTTAGGTTGGAGGCTGGTGCTGGGCCATACACATTTTAGCTGTCATACATCTGGTTGACACTAGATGTCAGAGTATAAACGAGATAGAAATTCACATGTTTGCAAGGATGCCTTGCCCTTGGAAGTCACAGAGATTTCTCAATGTCACTCAAGTCTCAGAGTGCAGAACCTCTGAAGTGTAGCCTCTCTGGCCTTTCATTTGAATGCTGGACACCTAAGCACTACGACTTAGGATCCCACGCGGGGAGAGAGCAAGGGAGAGCATGAGCTTCAGAGTCGGGTGCTTTGAACATTAGCTTACTGTTACATCATCTCTAGGGAACATATACTCCTCGTGCCTCAGTTTCTCTCTGTGAAGTACAAATTGTGAGGTTATGTACAACATTAATGAGACAAAGCCCTTTGGCCTCCAGCGTGGAGCCTGTCATACTCTGGGCCTTGCTGGGTTTTGATCATCAGGGCTGCAGGAGAGGACAGAGAACAGACGTTTGTCACATGTCCACACACTGCCACGCCAGCCCTGTTGGATAGGCGTACACAAACAGTGCGTGCAAACACGCTTTCTTTTCTCCCCAAAATGAGTCACTCTTCTATGAACAGCTCTGAAGCCCACTTCCCTAAGTATTTTCATGCCATCAAAAAAGAACTTCCTAGGAAACTAAACCCAACATCATTAAAGTTCAAATAGGAATGGCTTTATGTTTGAATTGCACAATTGTGATGAGACAGGATCTTTACCAACTTCCAAGTCACCATGCATGGGCTGAAGGCCCTGTTACCAGTGACAACATGGAGACACTGGGCAGCACCCCCAACCCACTCTGAAGGGACCAAGGTTGGAGTTTTCACAATAATTGCTCAATTTTTGGATTAATTTAATAGTATCATGGAAAAGTTTTTTTAAACAATGAGCTTAACCTTGATCTTTGTTCCCCCTCTCTGATTAGATGAAATATTTTGTTAATGTGGTTCCATTGCTATTGATGACATAAGTAGAGTGAATGCTGAGACTCTTCTTCTGGAAAGACCTTTCTTTTGAATTTTGAGACAGAGTCTTACTATGTAGTCAGGTTGGCCTTAAACTCATGGCAATCCTCCTTCCTCAGCCTCCAGAGTGCTGTGCAGTCATACGCCACCACACACAACTCAAAAAGCCTTATTTGTTGAACCTTTCCAAAATAACAAAAGAAGGCGGACCTGTCACTGGGCAGTCCACATATCTATCTTCAAAGATGACTGGCAGGGTGTTCCAGTCGCCATCGATGTCCAGGCACTCTGCAGGCAGCGGGGGCATGCTGGTGAGGTACTCAGAATTCCGCACATCCAGTGATAGCTGGCTGTGGCTCTGCATCCTGGTGGCACATGGATAGGGTGAGCACCCAAGAAAGACTGACATTCTTTAAAAGTGGTGTAGTGTGCTAATCCCAGGAAAACATTCAGAAATTCTTAGCAAATGCAGGCCATGGCCATCTGCGTGTCCATCCACACCTCCCTGATTCCCAAGCACACACTCAGCCCCCAAAGCCATGGGGAGTCAGCTCTGTTTGGGAACAGGTTTGGGTAGTGGGATTAGAGACCATGGACTACAGGATTGGGTGAAGCATAAGGTTATCTATCACACACATTTAATGGAATGTTATGAAAGGGTGGCATACCATCTGAGCTTCTAAGTGGCTGGGAACATTAAATAAAATTAGTACTTTGGAGTACTTATTTTTACTTTTTCTTCTCTGCTTATTATACCATGTAGGGTCTGACACATATTTTGGCACCTTTGAATTAAAAAACCATCTAAAATATCTTTTTTTTTTTTTTTGGCTTTTTGGGTTTTCTCCGGTACCAGGAACCGAGCTCACGACATTGCACTTGCCAGGCAGGCGCTTTGCCACTGAGCTAAATCCCCAGCCCCCAAAATATCTTTTTATTGGTTATTTTGCAGATAATTAGTATCTTTGATAAGAGTGTTAGTTCCCCTAGTTCAGGAACCATATTTTGGTTCTTCCATGTATGATTTTAAAAACGTCTTTGTTTTTTCTCCATGAACAAAACATTTTTCCATCAACAAGAATTTGACTCCAAGGTTTAGAATAAGCTTTATTTCTAATTCAAATACTCAGGTGTTAGAAACTATTCTCTTCTCCTTTAGTCCCCAGAAAAGGGGCAGATATTATTTTACCCTATGAAAGAAAAAATGAATGTGGCATGTTTTCCCTCCATGTAACTACTCATTCTTCTTTCTGCAAGGGAAGAAGAGGGGTGTTATGGTTTATGTCTGTGTGTCCCCTCCAAAGCCTCATGCGACCATGGGGCAGGTTATTAGAGTTGAATGATTGTGGGTGTGAGAGCTACACCCGCCCTGGGGTGGATAGTTTGCATATGTAAGGGAGAGGAAAAGAGTGCTTGAGGACATTCCTCTCCCATTCTGCCCTGGTGTGTGCTTGCGGCTTAGCTGTGGTCTGCAACCTTGAGCTGCAGCACTCTGCCATGTGCCACTCTGCCTTATAATCTGCCAAGTAAGGACTGAAACCTCCATGAACTGTAAGTGAAATAGACCTTTCCTTCTTTCATTTTGGGCGTCAGGTATTTTGTCCCAGCAACGAGAGAAAAGTAACCAAGACAGGGGGCTTGAGGGCTTGCTGAGTTGGGGTGAATTCAACATGCAGAGGTAATTTCTGTCTGTCTATCTGTCTGTGAATCTTTTGGAAGTAGCCTAAATTCTGGAAGCTCCCTTCTCCCTTCCCAGCTGCAGAACATCTCTGCCCATAGAACAGGATTGTAGCTAAGGAGCTCCACACAACCTAAAGCAACTGCAATAGTGGACCTGGTGTAGTGAAACCCTGTCTCAACAAAAGAAATTATCAACTAAGCATCAAAGCACTTAGGATGATGTAGACAGACTGCAACTGAATTTGGATCTAGTCTACAGTCTACAGAGTCATGAAGAAAAAAGTACCCAAGCAGGTGACTCGTAGTAGAGCAGGCAGCTATTGGAGAATCACGTCTGAGCTTTATGGGCAGAGTGTCCTTTCCTACTAGAAGGTTGTATTGAGTTTAGAGCTTTTGTGCATGCCACTAAGTACCTAAAATTATGGTAGCATGTGTTAAGAAAATGTCTAAGGATGCTAAGGGGCACAAAGAGGCCAGTGCCAGTCCCTGAGGACAGGACTTTGAGAAGTCTTTGGGCCAGCCTCTCTGTGTGATCTTCAACCCCAGTACCAGAAACCTCAGGCTTTGTAAAGCAGGCTTCATGAGGAAACTGCCTTGCCTTCCCCACTTGGTGCACAGCACCTCAACTTCTGCAGGAGATTCCAGATGGCTGTGGCTGCAGGCTGAATGATGACTTCATCACTGGCTTTATTTGCATATCAAGTTTAGTTTACTGGGATACATACAGGTGTCACATTCAGAGAGGGTGGGCTTGTGATGGTAGGTGGTGGGTACCAGCTTGACTGAAGAGTGCTCAGGTTTGTCTGTGGGCATGCTTCCAGACAAGACTGGCATGGGAGCTGGTGGCAAAATGAGTGAGACACACCTCAGTGTGGGTGGAGATCACCTAGTCAATGGAGGTCTGGGTAGAACCAAAAGGTCGAAGGTGATTGCTTGCTCTCTGCTTTGGGTCCAGGACACCTTTTTTTCTCGCTCCCTTTTCCTTCTTGCCAGTCTCCAGCTTTTGGACTGCAAGAATGACACTAGTGGGCCAACATGGATCTCAGGCCTTTGGTGATGGACTGAGCACTGCACCACTGCTTCCTTAGTCCTGAGATCCTCAGACTTGAGCTGAGCTGCGCTTCCACTTTCAGCACATGGCTGCAGGACTTAGCCTTTGTACAGCATCTCAATTCCCCTAATTAATCCCTTCTCATGTTCATATCCAGAAGGTTCTCTGGAATTATCAGGGGTTCACTGATGAAAGCAAGTGGAAGAGAAGTGTTCCGGGCAGGAATACTCTCTCCTCCAGGGCAAAGATCAAAGACAGGTCCTGCAGACTGCCTGAGAAAGTCTCTTTCTCAGAAATGTTCTGCTTTGACACTATAACTTAGTAAGCCGCTGGTTCAACTCACCAAATCAGATCATTTCTAGCCCCCTGTATTAGTCCTTAGCCCTATCTGAGTTGTTCTTTCTATTTGCAAGTTTGTCTTTTGTGTCCCATGAGAACAGAGTCCTTGTCTACCTTTAAAAATTATTACTCTATCTGAAGTTTCCACATCGTGCCTGGAACTTCATGAGTGATCAATAATCATGCAGATGGGCTTCTCTTCTTTGAAGGGTTCAGATTATGGGCATTCACCATATCTGGCTGAAATACATCATTTTTGCTTGAGAGTAGAAAACACCCTGCCCTGAGGCAATCCCACAGGTAAGTAGTCACCTGAGTCAGGTTGCAAGGCTCCTTGCCTTCCCGGAGGCATCTGGAAGCACAACACCCTCCAGGGCATCTGCCCCACAGCCCCAGTATCTGACCAGAATTCCTCCTGGGAATTTTCATGGAGGACACAGATGGTTAAGCATGGAGAAGAGTTTCCAAAATGAAAATACCAACAAACAAGTCCCCGCCCCCAAAATAGTCATGCAAAGGGAGGAATGTTAGCAGGAAGAGGCTGAGTGCATAACTATGTCAGTAATTAAGAGTTGCATTCACTAAGTGAGAAATTCCCATTCTTAGCATCAAAAAGCCTCAAACAGGAGTATGGGTTCTGTCTTTCTCTCTTCAGACTGTTGCCTTCCACGCTTCTCTGTGCACACTCATCCCAACGCCCTGCAGGAGCCGTACAAACAGGAAGGCACTAACTTGGAAGGAGCCCTGCCCAGGCCGGCCTTGCCCACCTGCTCGTGAGCAGGCACCTCCATACCTGGGTGAAGCTCAGTGCAGGATCCCTTCCTCACATTCAAATGATGCTCAAGGAAAGTACCTTGCATGCAAATCAGTCTGAATGCACAGCAGGCAAAGGACTCACTGTTAGTACACTCAGGCAAACACCTTTGGGTTTCAGGCAGGCCATTTCCTGCGCCCATCCAGGGAAGAGTCCTACAGACCCTATAGGCTCTGGTTTATCAGCTACACATTTCAACAGCAAGTTTACCCTGACTCCACAAGTACAGTCCAATAACATAAAATACTCCCATTTTAGAAGTTGATAATTCACATTTTACTTTTTTTTTTTTTTAAAAAAATGGTTCAATACTCATGCAGAGATGCTACAGCAAGGAGGTTATGAGTGAGGGCCCTGGACTCCAGCAGATTGCTGTTGCTATTGCTTTGCTGCTGTGTGGTCTAAGGTAAGTTACTTAGACTCTCTGAGTCTAGGTTCCCCCAGTTTCTTTTTGTGTAAGTGAAGGAAATAGCAGTCCCTACCACACAGGGCAACTGTGAATGTTAAACAAGTTGATGCATGTAAAGTTTGAAGTTTCATACCAGAATAATGTCTGAGTACCACAAAGGCAGGTAAATGTCTATTATGTTCAACCCAACGTACAGAGCATCTTATAGAATGAATGATTTGTAAAATGTTAGACCACGTGACAGTTCTCAGCAAGGAAAATGCACAAGTTTAATCGACATCTCATTTATCATATGATAGAAATGAATGCTTCAGCATGGGTCTCCACACCCTTCACCACCGCCATGCCCCTTCATCAGCAAACTGCTACCAAACATCACCTGACCGTGAGAAGCCCTGGAGGACTCTGATGAGAGAGAGGAGGGACAGAAAAACACACCCCATGATTGCTCCTCCTCCATTCTAATTGATTGGTTGTGTGTGTGTGTGTGTGTGTGTGTGTGTGTGTGTGTGTGTGTGGTATTGGGCTTGAACCCACTGCTTTCAAACTGAGCTACATCCCCAGTCCTTTTCTATTTTTTATTTATTTGAAGAGAATAAAACATAATAAAACACATTAGAAATGATACAGAATTTCACTAAACAAAATGATAGGAATTCAACAAAGGAAAGGAACAGTTACTGCTTAATTTTTGTTGTTGTTGTTCTTTTTAATATTTTTGACCAGTTTTCCATGCTTATAGCTGGTGATTCTGAACAACTAAATTATTTTTTATTTTGAGACAGCATCTCACTGAGTTCCTCAGGCTGAGCTGCAATTTGGGATTGCCTGCCTCAGCCTGCCAGACTGCAGGATTATAGGCATGCACTACTGTGCCCAATTTAAATGACTTTTTGGCGTGCATTAAAAATTACAACTTCTGGGAGGAAATAGCCTTCATTTCTACGGCAATCCCATGGTCCCAGAAACACACACGGTGAAGCAAGTGTCAGTTTCAGCAGACACTTCCTACTCCTCTGAACTCTTCCTTCTTGTCTGTCCTGGCCTAGCCTAGCCCATTTCACTTAAAAAGGGTGGTTCCTAAGCTAGAGTGTTGATTTCACAGCCCAGTAAGTGGTGCTGACCTATTGTTTGAGAAACACAATCAAGTTTCATCTTGAACAAGATGAGCCCTGACAGACAACACTCCCTGGTGCCACCTTGCATTTGTGGTCGGCCATCCATGGCTCTGCCCTGAGCAGAACCAGGCAGCTTCCCAGAGGCTGTGTCCTCCCTGGTCTCCCTGTGAGCGTGGGGCTGCTCACACACAGTCACTAATTCGCCGTGTCAATCACAGTCTATTTCTGTACATGGCACTTTGTCCCTTTTCTCTAGTGATTTTCTCTGTGTGAATTGAACCATTCCTCCAGATTCTATACATTTTATTCTTGATGGCCTAGGAAAAGCCCACTTCTTTTTGAGTAGTAGCTTTCCTATTCCGGTCTTTACACTATATGTTTCTGGTATTAACTGAACACTCAGATCATCTTTAATGTCTAAAATTAATCCATAGGACAAATACAAATAATCTCCTAGAAATCAGCAAGGCTCAGGGTCTGTACCTGATTCAGATCTTGGCTGAACTGTCACTGTCCCATGAAGACTTTGACACAATTCCATAAAGTAGCACCATCTGTTCTTCTTACGCTCAGACATACACTTTATATGGTTTTTTCCATAGAACTCATTGCCATTTGGCATAACACATCTGTTTATTTAGATGCCTTTTACCACCAAAGTCTAAGGCCCATGAGAAAAGGAGTTTGTCGTTTTGGTTCACTGTGGAATAGTCAACACTTACTGTAGTGTCTAGGATGCAGTAGACACTAAACTGACATTTACTGGATTAAAGGATCTCTCTTTTACAGTCTAAGTAACCAAGTAACAAGTTTGATGTCACAAGTATTTTAAGTTACAGTATCAATATATCAAAGCATGCATATGAGATTTGAAATGCTGTGGTCCTAGCATTCACAGGTTAAAAAGTACTAACTGAAATTCTTCCAACCTGAATTACTTCCCTGGTCCATAAGCCATGTGGACTCATCCCTCCTGCCCCGACATTCCCTCCCTTCTTCCTCATTTCCTACCTGCTCACTCCATTCTAACCAGACTTGGCTTCTTGCTATTTTTCAAATATGCTGTTTCCATATCATAACCTTTGCAACAGCCTAAGCAACCTTCTCCGGATACATGGTTGACTCACCATCACCCCAGACTGTTCAAATGCCACTCCCTCCAGGAGTCGTCTCTTATCGGTCTGACCAGCCATCCTTGCCCCACAGCCAGCACTGCCCTGGGCATGGTGCACACTGCCTCAAAAAAACCAATTGCATGTCTCTCTTCCCAACTTGAGATTAGAGAAAACCAATAAATAAACTGAACCTGACCATTGTGGGGCATCCACATATCGGAAATCAGTGCACACTACAGTGTTTTGTTTGTTTTTGGCCTTCTGAGAGCTCTCTGTTAAACATTTCTGAGGGCACTGGCCACATCCTGTTCATCATAATTTTCCATGTCCTTACCTTGCATCAGTTTTCTTCCCCTGCCACGACCAGAACTGACAAACTTATGTCTTACCTTTTGGCCATTACAAAAGTGACCCTTGTAACATGCTTTAGTTCATTCCCTGCTGTATGCACATTGTCTTATGCAGACAATAAATATTTACCATCTAATTATCACCTGACTTTTCTTGAGCAGAGTCTGTGGCCTGTAGTAAGGGTTCCATGCACACAGGTATTCTCAACCTTCCCACTTAACTTATACTTTATCCATTTGATGAGCAAAGAACCTAAGATTATGTGAGATTGAGGTAAAAATGACAATAGCAAAGTAGCTCTGAGGATCCCCTACACATCATGGAGCAGCAGGATTGAACCAGATCCCCTGTGTGCTCTATCACCTGTTCCCTTGGCTCCAACAGAGCTCTTCAGAGGAAGCAGCAGTCTCTGTGCCTGTCCTCTCCCCCTGGGCATGTTTCTTGAGAACACAATCTTCTTTCAACTGTCCAAGGTTAACCTATGGTTGTGCTGACGCTGAGAAAGCAATCTCTCATATTCTCCAGACTAGCAATATTTCCCCAGTCATCCTCAAAGTTACACTTATATTTGTCAGATTAGCCCTTCTGATGTTAATTTTAGAGAGTACATTCAGCCAATTCTAGCTGGAGGCTGCAATAGATGAGTGAATGTATAAATGAGGGAGTGAAAGACTCTAGCAATTTCTACAAAAGAGATTTTAACAGGCAGATGCATTTTCCTTGGTGCTGCAATCATTTCCAGAAACCACAAGACCAACTGCAAATAACACTGTACTTTTCAAATAGAATCAAAGCTGGGAGCAAGTCAGGCTATATAGATGGACACAAAAGGCCTCCGGGCGGGTACCATGTAATGCACAAACCTCTGGTGCCTCTCCTGGAGGACTTGCTATAGCATCCCAAACATTATTCACCTCCCTCTGTTTTTGTTTAGTTTTGTTTTGAGATGAAAATATACTTCAGAAATACAAAGAAACCCTTGGGCTTGTGTAAGAATGGGGGAAAGATTCTGGGAGGAATCACCAGGGAAGCTGTGAAAAGGGATGACCTCATCTCACTGAAACCTGTCTCAAGTCCTTTTCAATCTTTTCTGGAAGAAGGCAAACTTAGAAATCCGTCAGTTCTCTAAGTTAGGGAGCTTGGGCTTGATGATTATGCTAAATGCATTTTTAGCTACTGCAGCTCAAGCAAGGAGACTCTTTTTTTCTAACAAAGTTCATAGCTGAATCACCCGCTTTGAATGCAGTTTGGAAAAGACTCAACACAGATGTCTTCAGCGACCTAGGAAGTCCTGATTCTTTCTATATAACCACAGCAACACTCAACAAAACTGCTGGCTGTTGACCCTCCCTGCCACCTGCACTTCCTGCTCTATGGCGAGTCTGCCTCCTTCACCCTGCACAGGAAATGGCATGGAACAGGCAGAGGCAAAGTGAAAGAGGAGCTGGAACAAAGAAAGTGAACGGAATGTGACAGGTAGCCATCATACGGGAGGAAGCGGGTATGCAATTATTACTTACAAATTCTCCTGAAAAGTTAAGACTGCAAGCTTTTGATGCTCCATATAAAAGAAGGCCTCAGAAAACCTTCGGACCTGGGAAAGGAAACAATGTAAACAGCTTAGTTTGTAAGTAGGTATTATGGTTTAGGTCTAAAATCCAGCACCACCATCACCACTGCATAAAATCTCATCTGTTTATAAGGTGACTGAATCACAAGGGTGTAGTACCCATTAGTGGATTCATCCACCAATAGGTTTAGCGGCTGAATGTGTTATAAAACATAAGGTCTGACTGGAGGTGGGTCCTAGGGGTGTGACCTGTGAGAGCATCTTCTTGTCCTCTCTCCGCTCTTCTTTCTCTGCTTCTTGGCTTCCATGGGGTCAGTAATAGCCTTCTACTAGTTCCACCACCATGCAATTTCTGACCTGGAGCCAGCCAACTATGGACTAAAATTTCTAAAAACTGTGAGACATCATGCATGTCTCCTCTTTTAAACTGTGGATGTTACATATATTTCTACCAGTGGTAAGAAAGTGACTAAAACTGTGGATATGACCTCCTCCTTTTAAAATTGGAGGCGGAGGAGATAAGTGTTATGTACAAACAGTAGGGAAGCCCTGCCCACCCCTAGTGGTCTGAAATAACAGGCTTTCTCTCCACAGTTGCCTTCCTCCCTCAAATCTCTGCACTCAAACTGAGGCTGTGTACATTGGTTTCCTGCTTGTTTATGAATATGTTCTTGCATTGCTTTTCATCATTTTAATGTAGGTTTTATACCTTTTACTGGAACATAAGATCTTTGCAAACAGCCACTATAAATACACATAGAATAAACAGAATTTCCAAAACTAGCCACAGAAGCATGTTTGCTAACCGCTTGGTGAACCATGGTTCCCAGTTCTTTGCTCCTCTTCCTCTAAGTGGGAAAATTAGCACTGCTGCTTGCACACTACTACCTCCCCACAGGCAACCAAGTTAGTGACAAAGATGTACACTAAAAGAAATATATTGCATTTGAATGTTTTTCAAACACTTTTAAAATTTTTCCTTTATTTTGCTGTGGTGCTGTGGAACAAGCCCGAAGCCTTGCATATAACAGGCACATGCTCTAACACTGAGTGATAGCCCCAGCTCTTCAAGTATTTTGTAAAGTACTCGTGACATCCACTGTGATAAGCTCTTCCATCACCAGACATAGTCAGAGGAGGTAGACTAAGAATGAGAGTAGAGGTCTAAGTGGATAAGTGAGTTTATAGTGTCACACTGCGTGTTCATGAAAGACCCAGACCAGACACTCAGATCCACAGAATGGAGCAATCTCAGTGCTGCTTCTGCTCAGTGCACTAACCCTTGTAAGATTTCCCCAGGAAACCAAAGGCATGTCATGGGGCATTTACACTCCTTCACAGTTTACCCTCAAGTTGTGGTGTTCCTGGGTCAGATAAGTAGTCACTCTGGAGTGTAGCGTCACCGTGTCCAGGAACTGGGTCCAGAGAGCTGTGAGATGGGAGGCAAGCCAGGCAAGGTCCTTGCTGATCTGCTCGGCTATCTTCTCCGGATTGTTCAGCATCTGGGGAGGCAAGAATAACAGCAATTCCTCTGTGCAGCTCATTTTTCAATTTGCAGACATATGTTATATTTTTGATACTTTTCCTCTGCTTTTGTGTATGTGCCTACCTCTTTCCAACATCTCTATCCTGTCTGTCTAATCTCATCACCACAAAGCTGGGCTTACCCTACCTGGCAGTGCCCAGATCCAAGGTGACTCCTTCATGACCTTTCGCTGCTCCCCCAGGTGGAAACCTGGAAAGGGACCATCATATCCTCCCCAGTGCCTCCCAGCACCGCAGGTCCTTTCACTGGAATCTATATACCCTTAAATTCTGAACTCAGTGCTCTGCTGTTATTATAGCCCACCTTATTAATATCTATTATTTGGCAGGGAAAGCAGCAGGTATTTTACATACGTTTCCCACTTAATCCCTGAACTACCCTTTAACAGGCATAATGAAAGCATCTTTTTACAGAATAGTAGAAGAAGAGTAAATGGAATGCCTGAGATCACAGGAAGTTGGGATTCTACTGAAGGACTTCAGGGCAAAGTCACATCTTTGACCCCAAGCAGGGTTGTAAACATCTCCTAAGAGAAGGCAGTCCTCACAATCTCACAGCATCTAACTGGTTGGTGCTTTGTACATGGCCATTGTGAAAGAGTGCTGGCTCACCACTGTCTTCCTGCCACTACTCTTATTTCTTAAGGATGACTGCAGATTGCCTTCATTGAAACTCAAAGCTATCAAACTGGCATAGCCCTGGAGTCTCTGCGGAAGATGCTTTGGGGAAAAAAGCCACTTCAAATACTGAAGTTTAGAATGGAGACCAAGACCAACATCTTGTTGGGGGGTAGCTTCACTTATGGAGAGGTGAGAAGGAAGAGCCCATCTCTGAGGAGTGGCAGGGAGCCAGCTGTCAAATACTGAGCCTCAGATCTGGGTTTCATTTCATGTGTTTATTCAGCAATCATTTAATGAGCACCCTTACTGTCTCAGACACATATTTAGAATGAACAAAACACAAACAGGGCTAAGAGCAGGCTCTCTCTGTGGGGAGCCTCCTTCAGCATGGATGAGGAATGTGAGATGATGAATAAGAGTGGTGTGCAGCTCTCGCCACGCTGGTGGACCAGGGGCATATGACCCAAGCCATTTTGAACATCAACATTTTCTCTTCTTTGTCCTGAGCATCTAGTTCTTCAACGAACATGCAAAGAACATGCAAAAAAAATTAACTGCTTTTGGATGTAACAATATATGGGGAAATCTATGTGCCTGAAACACTGGGATTCTTTCTGCTCTTCTTGGACTGAAAGTTGATGGTCAGTGGATGGGGAAAGAACAGGTGAGCGAGGCATCAAAGAGGAAGAAAGAAAGGGGAGCAGTTTGGCCATAGTGAGGCTGTCTCCGTTTGGGAGATTATTGCTTTATAATTAACCATTGGCTTCCAGACACAAGGCTTTGCTGAAACATAGCAGCTCTGAGCTGCTTCTTCCAAGCGGTAAAATCAGTTCTCAGTGGTCACACTTGGGTCTCTCCCACACACCATGGTCAGTGTGAGGAGACAGGAAGTAAGGGCAGGAGGGAGGAGTGGGTCAAGATTTGGGGAACTGGGTCACTCTGAAAAAGCTACAGACTGAAGATGAGGGTTTGGGTGGGGCTAGAAGTACTGGATTCTCTAACCAGCACTCTTCCCTAATGAGGGTCAGTTATCTGCACCAACACTTGACACCGTTTCTTCATCTTATGCTGGGCTACCCTCCATTGTCCCAGCTAAAGTCACCCTGCCTACAACAGCCTCCTTAGACCTGGCTATTCACTGCCACCAGACCCTTTCCCTGGGAGCCCTCCTCCCACTTTCCAGTTTTCTTTCTCCTTTCACCACTTCAGACTTTAGACCCTCTAGTAGAGAACTAGTGAAATAAATTCTATCTTTGCTTGTTTCTTTACTCTTTGAAAAGTCTGCTATATATTAAAGTGACTGCTCTCCTCTTGATCTCACCAGTGTTCCTCCTTACCTGCGCTGCGAGCCTCAAACCTTCAGTATTCTTAGCCCCTCGCACAAACATGGTAAACACTGCAAACTCGGTTACTCTTTACTGAATAGCTAGGTGACCTGGCACCAATGGGAGGCACCATGGCCTGTCTCTCTGTGACTGACAGCATTCCTCCATGACAGTAGTACTCAAACGCAGCATGAATTCTGAACTGAGCAAGAAACTCACAGGGTCTGGAGAGATAGAAAGAGAGGAGAGGGGAGAGGAAGGGAAGAGGAGAGGAGAGGAGGGGGAGAAGAGGAGAGGTGAGGGGAAGGGAGGAGAGGGGAAGGGAAGAGAGGAGAGGAAGGGGAGGGGAGGAGAGGAAAGGAGAGGAGAGGAGAGGAGTGGACGCTACACTCCAGAGTAACTACTTATCTGACCCAGGAACACCACAACTTGAATCTATTCATTGAATGCATCTTTAAGAGAATTATTTTCCCCTAGTTGATCACAGCAATGTCTTCTGTAAGGCTAAAGAAGCTTCTTCTAATTAAGTCACCAGAGTAGTTTGCTATGCTTTCAAAACTCAAGCCTGTGCAAGTGTGTATTACAGGCATAGAAGACTTTCTCAGGAGACCAGTGATGGTCCTTCCCACTAACAAGCAGGAAATTGTGGCCCAGTGCTGTCACTGGTGAGACTCCTTGAGAAAGAGCCTCGGCCACCTTCCCTCATACCCCACACCCACCTCATCACCTGGGCTCTCACTGTGCATCTGTCTCCATTCCCTCCCTCCCTGGCTTTGTTGACAGAGCACCTGAAGTGTGCTACGGAGTACACTGAGCTCAAGAAGTGTAATAGAAACACATACAATCCTGGAGGCGGCATTTGGTCCCCTTATGGCTTTGCATTTAGATGGCTATAATACACCTACACAGTGAAAGATATTTACACCCAGCATCACAGAGGGACCAGGAAAGGTTGCCTGAAGGAACTGAGCCCTGCTTACATCTTTAGGATGAGCAGACATTAGAGAAGCCTGTTTTATATTCCCGGAACAATCATGTTCTCTCTTGAAGCTTCTCAATCTGAGCTGCACATCGGCGCCACCACTTCTACAGAAGTCTAGGACATCTCAGTATCTCTAGGTGAAACCCAGACCCTTGAACTCTTAAAGAGAATTCCAGATAATCTTAATATGCATCCAGAGCTTCTTTTTTGTTGTTGTTGTTTTTTGGTACAGGAAATTGAACTTGGGACCTTGCACTTGCCAGGCAGGCTCTTGTGCCACTGAGGTATACTCCCTGCCCATATCCAGAGCTTAATCCTTTCATGCCCATAATGTTACCTTGGTGCATGTTCTCATTTCTGACAAAATTCCTCCTATACTGCACATCCATCTACACACACACACACACACACACACACACACACACCTGCAATGTCTGCTGCTGTTTCAGATATTGGACCAGTCCCACCCATCCATACAGACAGCCTTTCCTGAATACTCAAAAGAGTATACAGGAATCACAATAGCAGCAGTGACAACTGAGAATTTCAAGGCACTGTGGTCCAGGAGTATTATGGAAACTGAATCCTTAGATCAATCCAAAGAGTTGGTACTGTTATTACCAAGTCAATTCTATAGATGGGGCAACCAGGCACTAGGAGGTTAGGGATAGACACAAGATTGCTGATGCCTGGAGCCAAGCAGTCCAGCTCCAGGGGTTGCCTAGCTCCCCTTCCAGGCTTCTCTACTGACCCTACCACTCCCCAGGTGGACTGGCCTGGTGGCTGCATCCCACTGCTTGCGGTACGGCAGCATGCGTGTGTCTGCTCAGCCTCTCACTGACGCAGCACTTTGGGGAGTGCTGGTAGAAGACAGGAGGAGCTCCTGCAAACTCTGCAAACTTGCAGATACCTTCCAGGCTTCAGGCTGGGACCTCTTAAAAACCAACTGCTTGAGCTATTTTCCTTGTCTCCCTCCAGATATTCATGGGCTCCACCCACAGCGATGGGAATTTTCAGATTTATAAGCTTCACTACTCTTCTGAGCTTGACTTGAGTTTAGTTTGATAATTACTTTGCAGGACTATTTTCTTCCTGTACCAACAGGAGACTCATTTTGCATACTTGACTCAGGAAGCATCTATCAAGCGCCTAGTTTATTTTGGTAACTATTACAATATAAATAAGACTGAATGCCTTCATGGCTTAGTGTATGAGTGAGAAGGGACACAAATCATACTTCCCTGAGCAGTGGTGGGGATAGAGTGCAGCACTGCGAGACATGCAAGGGCATGAACGCTCTCAGATCCCTGATCTCAGACTTGGCTTAGGCCTTGTAGGCTGAGACAGACTATGTCGGTAATAAAACGACATGAGTCAGCACAGTCCAAGCAGATGTGAACACATGCAGGAGGATACTGGGGTAGGAGCACATTTTTGCCCCTCAGGAGGTGAAACGCAAGGTTGGAACAGCTAAGGGACAGGTAAGAGGAGAATCCCATGCTTATGGCGTGACTTCCATGCCAGGCAATCTGATCTTCAACCTGTGTGTGACCAGCCACCAGTAAAAGTTTTGAACCTGGAAGGTGAGGGCAGCGACTTTGTGTAGGGTGCGTGGGCATCCAGGCTTACAGCAATGTATTTTTTTTATTCGTCTTAGAAGTCCTCGGAGTGAACTCAGGGTTTAGCACCTACCACTGAGCCCTCTACCAATGAGTCACATCCCAAGCCCTACCACTCCATAGTTTGTGGGGTGGGGGGCTGTGTGAAGCAAACCATAAAGCCCACAAGATCCCTGCTGCGCCTTGCAGGGACAGAAGAGGCCCTGCTGAGAGGCTTAGAAACATCACACTGTGGATGGGGAGCCCAGCTGTGCTGAGTCAGATCTCATGCTCAGCCTCGTGCAATGGCAGAGGGAGACAAGGCAGCAGCTAAGATAGGTGGGTGTCCTATGGGAACCGGCGTTTGCTTTCTGGGCTTTCAGAGTTGAGAGAAGCATTTCCTGGGAGCTTGTTATGGAATCTCCTGCCCC